CCAACATTTAAAAGACAAAAAATACAAAATTACAAATTGATAAAAAAAATGATAACATAATTCGGCATAAAACATATCCTAAAGAAATCAACCAGACCAAAAAGAAAGCAAATAGTATTAAGCATCACATTTTATTGGTCTTATATTTATCTTTTTTCAATATACATTATTTTACCTTTATTAGATGTTTTCAATATTTGTTGAATTACAGGGTATCAGTGTTTAAAGTGTATTTCCATTTCAGGTTTTTTTTTTTATTAAAGGTAAATCCTAAAACTTATTATAATGTGACATTTAAAGGGCTACAGCAGAAGAATGTAGCTGGCCAACATTTTGAGAATGGATTGGCTACAGATTTAAGTAAATAAAATAAATGTATCAGTAAAAATTCCCTTGCAATCAAGGAAATTATTCACATAAGCATAGGTTTGCAAATGAAACAACAGTATACTGCTTAATCTGTTTAATCTATACAAGTGAAAAAAACTGACTGATGAATGCTATTTATTTTTACTGTAAACAAACAATATCCTCATTATAATATAATAGTATTAGAATTAAAAGTTACTGAAGAGAAAAAAGTATAAGCATGCAACATATTATTAAAGGATTAAATTCAGTCCACCTGGTTATCCTGAATAGCAAATCATAATTGTAGCTTGAAAATAAAAGAGTTGCTTTTATGTTTTGTTCAGGGCCCTCAGCAAGTATTTATGGTAAAAAGTGACAAAGGGTCCAACCTGTCCATCATGTGCTCTGTGTGGAAAGATGTTTCCTCTGGGTGCATTTAGCAAAAGAGAAAGAAAAGGGCCTGTTTACCAGATTAACCGCATCCTTTCTCTTACTTTCTTCCCTAAATACGGTAACTTGCCACCTATCCAGCATGTAAACTCATACAGTATCCACCATCAACCTTCATCGGAAAAAAGTGACATTTGTTATTTAGTCTAATCAACCTTCACTTCTTTCTAATTAGCTAAAAATTTCCATTTGCTGCCATTATACTTTTACTCAGCAATGTTATTGTCATGAAAAAGGGAAAAATGATAATTATAGCTTACAACCTGTTTCTGTTTTATAAAAGATAAATTAATTGATTAAGATTGCCATCTTGATTTTTCATCAATTGATGTCATAACATTTTTTTTAAAAAGGGAAAACTAGCAGATACTGTAATCATATAAAAATGAAGCCACATAAATCAAGAAAACCTGATCATTAAAATGAGTCACTTAAATATTTATTTATTTTCCATTTATACCTAATATTTCTACTTAGGGCATTCAAGGTCACTCTTATTCTAAAATAAAATCAAATCCTGAAAGAACTATATTATTCATGCAGAACAAAATCCCCAACTGAAGGCCTAAGCCTTCATTCTGTCCTAAAAACAAAGAAAAGAACATTGTATATGCAATCTTCTAGAATGTGCAATGTAGAGGTCTCATTTGGCTGATCTATCAATCCTACGCAATGTGGATTAATTCACTCTTTGGGGCAAATTAATTCTGAATGGAATTACTTTCTCCAGGACTCTCCTGCCGATACCCACAGCTCTATTTCCTTCTCCTCCTCCTCTTCCTCCTGGTCCAACAAGGCCATAGAAGAGTTGTGTGAAATTGTATTAATCATTTTCAACCATTATTTTATATTCCTAACCTCTCAAAACAGAGGTATTTCTGTTGGGTGATAAGAGCCTGTTCAGGTAATACCTGTAAAAATATGCCTGTTGTGAATGTTACATATAATTTAGCAGATTTTTTGTTTTGTTTGGTCCCAATGAAGTTACTAATTTATTCATGAAGTGGGTTGCATAGATTCATCTTTCATTTTCATGTGTCACAGTACTTAAAGTTGGAGAACATCTGGACTATGTTTGTTTAATTACAGTTACATCAAAAGTGGTGTAGTGGTTAGAGTGCAGTACTGCATCTCACCAGTTTCAAGGTTGACTCAGCCTCCCATCCTTCCGAGATGGGTAAAATGAGGACCCAAATTGTTGGGGCAACATGCTGACTATGTAAACCGCTTAGAAAGGGCTGTAAAGCACTGTAAAGCAGTATATAAGTCTAAGTGCTATTGCTATTNCTAGAATGTGCAATGTAGAGGTCTCATTTGGCTGATCTATCAATCCTACGCAATGTGGATTAATTCACTCTTTGGGGCAAATTAATTCTGAATGGTAAGACAATGAACATATTTTTTTTTTCATTTTCTAGAACATCAAACTTTACATAAGCTGATAATAAGCTATCAGAGTACTCTCGAGAGATTTAACTGAAAGAGTAATAGATTTATGAAAAAACAACCAAAGATTTTAAAACTTGAACAACATTCCTAAAATGATGTCTTAGTCTGAATAGTAAAAAAAATTCAGTAAACATTTTCCTGGTTGAGCAGAAGTCAACCAAGTTTCATATTAATGTAATTTTGCAAGAAAGGTAAAGAAAAATGAAGGAAAATATGATCAAAATATCTAACACAGAGGAATCAAATGACCTTGCCTGGAATGATTTCAAAATAGAAAAAGAAACCCATATATACAATCTCAAGTTTTAAAGTCCTGATAATATATAACACTACAGTCTGCAGCCAACCAGTTCTTTCCTCTATGTGTTACACCTGCATTAACACACTATAATCAATGCATATACCATGTTGAGCTTTAACTACAATATGAGGCAGACATCTATACCTAATTTAACAACTCTAGTTAAAAGGTGAGTTTGTTCAGGTTAAGTATAGATCTAGTCCAAATACTTGTGTAGAGTATCTTCACCCCGTCCACAATATGCTAAGCAAGAAGTTTCCACATTGCAACAAGTGAGACTGCCCAAGGAGTTAACAATTTAGCAGGAAGCACAACTTAAAAAAAAAAAAAAGCTGATCCAGGAAAATGGAAGAAGTGTCATTCATCAGAAGTGACAGGTTTTGAGAATCTGTTGATCGATTTGAGTAATAAGCCACCAACTGCATGCTAGCTAGCAATGTTTTTTTTCCCTATGCCAGCCAATAAAATAGTAAGCTGGGTACCTGCTACAGTCAGAGATAGGAAAGCTGAGGCAAAACCTCTAGAAGAAAAAAAGGCATTTTTACTAATATTTGAAGACAGCAATTATAAAGAGAGTCACAGGCTTGGCACAGGTTGAGACCAGGTCTCCATCAAGGAAACCATGGTTTAAAAAACAAGAGATGGAGTGAGGTGGAATTCAGAGTTCTACGTACGGCATGACTTGAGAAAACTAAGACTTTTAAAAGTTGATTTTATAGTCAGGGAGGGAGATCATTAAATAAACTAAGCCAAGCTCTATTAAAAAGCCGTCTACCCATCTGCTGACCTGCTATTTGGCCAATCAGTCTATGTTTTGAGAGTTCTGCCCTCCGGGTGTCTGAGGGACTGTCCAAGTGTCAGTAGGGAGTTGTGGGGGCTTGTTGGATCGACCCTTGTCACAGAGGAGTCATTGGCATCCAACTGGCCTTGGAATTACTTTCTCCAGGACTCTCCTGCCGATACCCACAGCTCTATTTCCTTCTCCTCCTCCTCTTCCTCCTGGTCCAACAAGGCCATAGAAGAGTTGTGTGAAATTGTATTAATCATTTTCAACCATTATTTTATATTCCTAACCTCTCAAAACAGAGGTATTTCTGTTGGGTGATAAGAGCCTGTTCAGGTAATACCTGTAAAAATATGCCTGTTGTGAATGTTACATATAATTTAGCAGATTTTTTGTTTTGTTTGGTCCCAATGAAGTTACTAATTTATTCATGAAGTGGGTTGCATAGATTCATCTTTCATTTTCATGTGTCACAGTACTTAAAGTTGGAGAACATCTGGACTATGTTTGTTTAATTACAGTTACATCAAAAGTGGTGTAGTGGTTAGAGTGCAGTACTGCATCTCACCAGTTTCAAGGTTGACTCAGCCTCCCATCCTTCCGAGATGGGTAAAATGAGGACCCAAATTGTTGGGGCAACATGCTGACTATGTAAACCGCTTAGAAAGGGCTGTAAAGCACTGTAAAGCAGTATATAAGTCTAAGTGCTATTGCTATTCTGGCATCTCTTATGATAATGTTTAAATAAATAGGTCAAAATCTTTTGCTCACACTATACATCTATACGCATCGAAAGATAAACTGTGGTACATCAGCCTACTCCTTGAACACCCCTCCCCCCTTTGTAAGTTAAAGTCCACCAGCTGCACTTATAAAGTTATTCTTCTCTTTTCTTCTCCATGTATCCTCTTCATTTTCAAAGGAAGCTATAATTTGCTTTAAGAGAGATTAAAGTTGATATCAATCCTACTTAGCTCCAAACCATTCTTTAAAACTATGGTTACTGTGTTTAAACCTTTGTTGAATATAGAAGTAGGCTTGTGTCCTGGCAATCAGAAACCCCCAAAACCATAATATAAATTTGGCGGCAAAATCACTTATTTTCAGTAGTAGAAGCTTCCCAATACATTCATCAGAGGAAGCCTTTATATTTCACCTCACATGATCACATGATCCCCTGAAAACAACCAACATGGATGAGAAAAAACCCTTTAATAATAAAGTGCGGACTAGGTTTAAAGCTACCCTTGTTTGGCATTCACCTTTGTGCAGAAATAACCTAAATAATATAGCTAAAATAACAGGTAAAGGGGAATTTAAGCTTTCTATGAAGTACTCCCTCATTCTTGGGACAGGACGTAGTATTTCTGCATCCCGTCAGTAGCATGAAGAGGAAAAGAAAGGGTTAAAAAGAAAAGAATGGAAGGAAATTTGTATCTGAGAGGTGGGTACTATTAATTGGATCTAAGACGGCCTGAGTACAACATCTGCAGTACAGCAGGCCATTCCCTTTGACTTCAAATAAAGCTCTGAAGAGAAACAGGTAGAACGAAAGACTTGATTGTCAGATCCCTGAATTTCCCAGGTGTTCACAAATCCCAGTAGATGTAATATATACCCATTTCATGCAGCTATCAGGCACTAATTATTGGGAGGAATTTCTGCTACCCACATGATGAAATAAGAATAAAATACTTACTTGATCTTTGGTTTTTGATGAAAAATAGTTTTAGCCTCTCTTTAAAGGTGTTGTCGTTCATGTAGAATTCAATCTGTACTCTAAAAAATAACCAGACAAAATGATTAGACATCAGTCTAATTAAAACAGATTGCAACAGATAGAAATTGCCTCCGTGTCTTTTTGCATTTAACTGTTTATGCAGTAATCATTGCTTTTTTGTTCTGCCTTCCAAGCTCAAGTCAACTTACATGGGGTTTTCTTCAAATGTACCCGCGCATACAGTGTTAGCCCCACATGAGATAGGTTACGAGTGACTAGGCCAGGTCAGCCAATGAGCCCCATGGCTCAGAGTACCAAGTTGGGGGACCTGAGTCTCAAGAGCCACAATTCAACAAGAACACCCTGGAGGTGTGTTCCAGACTTCTCAAAAGTTACTGCAGGACTGTAATTTTTATTAAAGGAAAAGAAATTATCGGTGCACAGCAGTGGTAGTTAAGGCATTAAGTTAGAAACAAGGACAGTTCTGGGGTCTAGTTCTGTTTTAGCTACAAAGCCAGCTAGGTAATCTTGGGCCAGTCGATCTCTCTATACAAAGAGTTTTCAACTTACAAACACAATTGGGACCAGAATTCCCATTGTTAAGCAAGGCAGTTGTTAAGTGAGTTGTACCTGAGTTAACAACTTTCTTTTACCATGGTTGTTAAGCAAATCACTTCAGTTATTAAGTGAATCATGTGGTCATTAAGCAAATCCTCCCCCATTGACTCTGCTCATTGGAAGCTGGCTGGGAAGGTTGAAAAAGGTGATCGCATGAGCCTAGGATCTATAGCAATAGCAATAGCAATAGCAGTAGACTTATAT